AAAAAAAAAAAAAAAAAAAAAAAAAAAAAAAAAAAAAAAAAAAAAAAAAGAAAAGAAAAAAAAAAAAAAAAAAAAAAAAAAAAAAAAAAAAATAAAAAAAAAAAGGGGGGGGGGGATTAAAAATTCATAGAAATGAATTCAAGTTTAATCACGACAGTAGAAATGGCATTGACAGTTGACGGACAACGACAACGTGTTCTGACAAAAACGTAATTCACCGGTTTATGTGATTTGACAATTCAATTAAGTTTTAAAATAGCAAGGAGACTATTGTTGGCAAGGCACTGCGTCAATCTACCATTTAACGTTGAGAAACGCATTCCTGTACTTAAACAGCTCCTTAACAATGGCGAGACAACCTGGAGGTTAGGTGAAACCGGGATTCAAGTGGCGGGCATCTTATGTCATCACTACAAGTGAACAATGACAGAAATTACTCGTAGGCGAGTCCAGTGCAAACCCTTGTGGGAAATGCAGGGCTTTGGTGCAACTTAAAATCGACGCATCAAGAAATACGGTAGATTGAGTTAAAAGTTAAACACAATATTGGGTCAAAATTTAAACGCAATACTGAGTTAAAAAGTTGAACACACTATTGAGTCAAAAGTCAAACACAATACCGAGTTTAACGTTAAACCAAATATTTAGTTAAAAGTTAAACACGAGTTGCTTGCCATTTTATTTTAATGCCAGTTACAGGCGAACGTTGCTGAGAGTAGTGTTTTTGAGTGTAGCGTCTCATTGGTGTTTTGCCTGCAGGGTGTAAGGGTGTCGTGCGTGTAGCGTCTCAGTGGTGTTTTGCCCACAGGGTGTAAGGGTGTCGTGAGTGTAGCGTCTCAGTGGTGTTTTGCCCTCAGGGTGTAAGGGTGTCGTGAGTGTAGCGTCTCAGTGGTGTTTTGCCCGCAGGGTTTAAGGGTGTCGTGAGTGTAGCGTCTCAGTGGTGTTTTGCCCGCAGGGTTTAAGGGTGTCGTGAGTGTAGCGTCTCAGTGGTGTTTTGCCTGCAGGGTGTAAGGGTGTCGTGAGTGTAGCGTCTCAGTGGTGTTTTGCCCGCAGGGTGTAAGGGTGTCGTGAGTGTAGCGTCTCAGTGGTGTTTTGCCCGCAGGGTGTAAGGGTGTCGTGAGTGTAGCGTCTCAGTGGTGTTTTGCCTGCAGGGTGTAAGGGTGTAGCAAGAAAATGAACTGTAACAAAATTCAAGCGTTTTTTTTTTAATGTTTAAAAACAACTTCTGGAAATGAATTAAGAAAATTTATAGACCAACAGATGTTTAGTTGCGTAATGCATTTTAAGAAATTTTAAATTATTTTTCTTTATTTTTCACATGCGGTCTAACTCGTCCTTGATAGATGATCTGTTGGTTTTTTTTTAATGTTTATTTTAAATATATTTTTTTCCAACTCATTTTCGGAAGGAAGTTGCTAGTGCAGCTGGTGAAAATGTTGTCAATGGAATAAGACTTTCAAACCGTCATTTGTGCGTGACTTCACTCAGGATGTGGAAACATTAAATTAAGTTGATGGTCATGGCAAAAATAACTATCTTGAGCAATTTTCGGACAGTTCATTCAATTATGGTATTATTTTTGTTAAAACCTTAGACCTAAACTTTAAACGTAAATCAATCATTCCTAAAAATATATATTTTTTTTTTAAAAAAGGTCATTAGATTATCATTATTCTTATTCAAAACATTTTTTATTGTCCAGCAAAATAAGTCCGAATTTCGAATCCCAACAATTGTCATTCCATTGCACCCATCTACCCTGAACAGTCGTGAGTGACACAAAATATGACAAGGATGTAACAGTTCAACAGGTGTTGTGTGTTTTGTTCTTTGTTAAAATATTCTATGCTCCCATGTGATCGTTTGAACCGACACTACTCCAGGATCGATTGTAGAACCAACGGGGATCAATATTACAATTTTTTTTAATTAAAGTTGAAACAAGTAAGTTAAAGCTTCAATTGATTTTTCTCTTTTATTTTTCAGTTTAACACAGAAAACATTGACCGAAAGAGGGCATCACAAATTATTTCAAGACATCTGGAAACAAGACATCAGGACAGAAGACATAAGGACACAAGACATCGGGGCACAGGACATCGGGGCACAACACCTGGATGCAAAACATCTAGACACAAGACATTGACTGGATTCAGCAAGTAGGAGGACACATAGGATTTAAAAAACAACACAGAAACAAGAGCAATGACAAGGGAGTAATGTGACGCTGATACAACTATATGTTAACCCTAAATTATTTCAGCCTTAGAAAGTAAACAACTGAAAATGTTGCCCGTGCTGTGTATCGTTTGCTGAAAAGCCGTTTAAGATGGATGCGGATCTGCACGAATGCAATGCTGTTGACACTCAGCCTTGGGAGAACACCCCCCGCTTTCCATTTGGCACCAGACAAAAGATTTCGGGGGAGCTCTCTTTGACCGACTAGGTTGTAACATATAATTAAGCCCCTCACACCATGTTCGGGAGGAACATCAGGAGGATGAACTCTCGGCGTGCCTTTGACGTCATGTTTGTGGCCCTAGTCTTGACCACTCTGAGTTATCTCTCTGTTGAGATACATTACATAAAATATCGCCGATATGAACCAGTGGGTCTCCAGGAGCACATTCCTATAGGCGACTCGCTGGTTAGCATGTCACCTGAGGTCACCACCCGTAGTTTGTCGACCGATGTGGACCGAAAGAAATCTATCTTTCGCACTTCGGGTGGATCTGATATATTTTCTGCCATGACCATTTCAAATGAGACAGACTCCACAGTGACAAAAACTATCTCCGAAACTGGAATAGCAAAACCCTCTTCAACGCCCCTGGGTCTCAATTCCTCCATCACTTCTGACGCCCCTCAATCTAAGTCCGGCTACTTCTTTTATTCAACCGAAGACCTATTTAAAAACCTAACCAAACCCTCGGGTGGGACCACCTTGTTCACCTACATTCCAGAGGACGAGTACCTTAAATCCAACTGGAACAACTACACGTCTTCTCCTGCAGTGAAGACCTATTTTAACTACCCCTTGCTCATAACTGGGGAGGACATCTGTTTAAGGGACGTCCCTTTTCTCCTGATCTTCATACCTTCGGTCGTGGATAACAGAGAACGTAGGGACGCGATTCGAAGAACATGGCTAAGAGCTGCAGAGACCAATTCCTGGCCTCAGGCGCATGTCAGAAAAAAGATCAAACACATATTTTTATTTGGTTTGAAGGTAGATAGAAAAAAGGAAGACCTCCAGATTTTGAAAAACGAATCTATTCTCTACAATGACATTGTTGTAGCAGATTTTGAAGATTCTTATAGAAACTTGACTATTAAAATACTCGTGGGACTAAAATGGGTGCTTAAGTTTTGCAACATGGCGGAATTCGCTTTAAAAGTCGACCAAGATACCTTTATAAACGTTCCACTCATGGTCGAGTATTTACTTCATGTTCGATGGAAGCTAGTTACGGATAATTTCGTCGTGGGTTTGAGGCACGGTTACGACAAACCGGAAGTGGTCAGAAGCGGTAATTGGGGGGTCGCGGAAGAGGAATACCCTTTACCCTTCTACCCCAGGTACCTCTACGGGCACACCTACGCTGTCAGCAGGGGCGGCGTCGGCGTCATCGTTTCCGCCGCGGAGCGCGTGAGACTCATCGCCCCCGAGGACGCCTTCATCACGGGGATTCTCACGAAGCTGTCGGGCGTCCCCCGGCTCGACGCGCCCTGTTTCACGATGTGCTGCAGGAAGATCTACGCGTGTGAAGTGGTATGGAATCGGAACGTCGCCGTGACGGCTGTCGACAGTGTCACGTTAATGGAACAGCTCTGGGGCAGCGTTGTCACACATACATGTAATGATACAAAGCCTTTCAACTGATACCCACCCACCCCCCTTTTTTCCACCCCACCCCCATTTTAAGTTTATGGGGCACATATAATATTTAATGAATTTAGAAACTTTAAAAAAAAGTCTCTAATATTATAATTAATCTTGGTCATAATTACCCCCCCCTCCCCACTAAGGAAAAAAAAGCACCAGATAGAAATTTTCTTTACCACGAATCTAATGTTATTTTTGACGCAATCTGTGGCTCTCTAGTTGTGCTTGGATACGATTGATTGAGTAAAGGTGTTGACAATTTATTAGATTCTACACAATACAACGTAGTACATCTTCAGTGATATGGCTTCAGTTTGACAATATATATATATTAGCGTTTTAGAAAAACAGTAAGATCTGTTAGAAAGCAAAAATTACAAAGATAATTTAAATATAAATAATCTAGGGCATCTTCTAGGACAGATCCACTGGAAAAGAATTAGATTCGAAGTTATAGGATCATAAAGAAAATTAGTCGTCGCCAATAATGGCGAAAGAAAGGTTGCGGCCAAAAGAGGTGGTCACCCCGAGGTGGGGTGGGGGGAGGGGGTTGGTGGGGCTCTGTTTTCTTTATATTCAAAGGTTCTATATTCGGAAATGATTTCTTATGGCATAAATCTTGATCCGCCTGGGAAGCACTAACACTAGCAACGCCACTGTCGAGAAATGTTCTAAGAAATTATTTAATTATTATTATTTTTTTTTAAACGGCTTCATCTGAGGTACAGATTAGCAAGCATAACTAGACGTCTTTAGCTACCGTAGTCAAAATAGAGCACAAAGATGTGTCTTGAGTCTCTTTTTAAAAAAAAAAAAAAATATTTGTAACAGATCTCTTTTCATGCCAACCATAAAAAAGACATTTATACAATTGAAGTGTGATTCATTAGTTCAACACAAAGATTTTAGGTTTTTACACAAAAGATGTCTTTGTAAGCCGTATTTGTGTTTGCTCAGTTCATTTATTTTTTTTTAAACGGCTTCATCTGAGGTACAGATTAGCAAGCATAACTAGACGTCTTTAGCTACCGTAGTCAAAATAGAGCACAAAGATGTGTCTTGAGTCTCTTTTTTAAAAAAAAAAAAAAATATTTGTAACAGATCTCTTTTCATGCCAACCATAAAAAAGACATTTATACAATTGAAGTGTGATTCATTAGTTCAACACAAAGATCTTAGGATTTCACACAAAAGATGTCTTTGTAAGCCGTATCTGTGTTTGCTCAGTTCATTTAAACACTTTTGCAAAGATTCGTGTATGACTTTCGCTATTCAACTCTTTTTACAACTTGGGAAAAAGAGAGGAATTTTTTTTGTTTCTTTGCCCGAGTCACTTGATCATTTGATAAAGTAAAATTGAAAGTTCGGAAAAGGAAATTAAAAGGAAAAGTATTCTCATGACAAGATTGATTGATTGATTGATTGATTGAATACTTATATAGCGCTAAGTATCCATGCTATTTTAGCATGGCTCACTGCGCTCTCAGTGATGGCATCCGGGGCGTCGCAGGGGTTGTCGGAATGATTCATTGTGTCGATGTTTTGCTGCCTGTAGGGTACGTCATCTCCGGGTTTGAGTTTCCTTCTCTTAGATCATAAGATTAGGAAAAAGACAATGAAATGACAAGTATCCTCACCATATGGTCATAATGATAAAAAATACTGGGAACTGATAACTTGATTTTTAAATTTTGTTATTAAATGTTATATTAATGTTTTTTTTAAACGCACGTTTAACGTCTGTCACATTTCAAAAAGCAAGCTTCCACCTTCCTCCCCCCCCTCGTATTCCCCCTCCCCACTAATTCTAGATTTATGATGGTATGAATATCGCCAACTATTCGAAATACTGTACGAATAGCACAACAATTAATAATTGTATAATTGTTAATAATTGTATTTATAACATATCTCAGATTCTATGAACATCAACAATTCTCCACGTTCTGTACGAATAGCATTACCCACTGCCATAATTGTATTTATAGCATTCCTCAGATTCAATGAGTATCGACATCTGCCCCACTTACTGTACAAATGGCACAAGCCAATGCCACAATTATGTTTACAGCATATCTCAGATGCAATTAAAATCGACATCTGCTCCACTTACTATACGAATGGCACAAGCCAATGCCATAATTATGTTTACAGCATATCTCAGATGCAATGAAAATTGACATCTGCTCCACTTACTGTACGAATGGCACAAACCAATGCCATAATTATGTTTACAGCATATCTCAGATGCAATGAATATCGACATCTGCTCCACGTACTGTACGAATGGCACAAGCCAGTGCCATAATTATGTTTACAGCATATCTCAGATGCATTGAATATTGACATCTGCTCCACTTACTGTACGAATGGCACAAGCCAATACCATAATTATGTTTACAGCATATCTCAGATGCAATGAATATCAACATCTGCTCCACGTAAAGTACGGATAGCATCAACCAATTGTATAAAGTTATTAATAGCACGATAATTTGAGATTTAAATGAAGTCATCTTTTACTCTAATGGTGGAATGGACGGTACTATTTTCTAATGATTGAATGTGATGTACACTTTTTCTAATGATTGAATGTGCTGTAAACTTTTTCTATAGATTGAAGAACGCAACCAAATCCTAATCATTGTACAGATAGCTCAAATGGATTAATAAACCGAGGGATAAAAACCAACTGGTCAGAAAATAGTAACAGTTAACCAGTGAAGTTATTGGACAACAAAAGATCATTTATTTGAATAATGTTATTAAATTATCATGAAATGCTCGCATGAAATGTATTGGAAATAATTAAATATTCAAATTATTGTACGGATTGCTTTATAAGAAATGTGTGTGCCAAGCTTAATTAAAAGCGCTAATATAACATTGCGTTTACCAAATTTTAATATTTTTTGTACATTGTCTTTGGTTCGAGAAGGAAATAATCAAATGATTGAACGGAGAGAAGGTTTCTAAGGGGAGAAAATCAAAATTATACTTTTTAAAGTCTTTAAACGGAAAATGTAGACTTATTTCCCTTTCCTTTGAATCATTATCACTCCACCATTTAGCAAAATTTTGTAATGCGTTCTCGGTTCCTTCCCGTTTATCTTATAATGTATCCCCTATTTATGTCGGCCATCTGTTTATCAATCAGCCAGCTGAAAGGTCTTGAGTAGGTTTTGCCAAACTGCGGGCACTGGCACACAAAATGCTATGCCAGGTGGCTTTTCACACAAAAACAGAAGGTCCTTGAATTTTAAGCCCTGGTATTAATCAATATAGAATATTTTTTTTGTTATTTCCTCATCAAGACTTTGATATAAAGTAATGTTCATAAGTGGTTCAGAGACTTTGGGTCACGAGACCCTCGGCGGTAGCCTGACAATATACCACGGTTGACTCTAGAATTTCCAAAATTGTTTTTTCTTATGTGTCTAAATATGTATTTCTATCTGATTGACACCTTTACGAAGAACTTACCATTTACAGTGACCGGGATAGTTTCTTATTGTCACAAAATCACAGCACTACGGTTTCTTATTGTCACAAAATCACAGCACTACGGTTTCTTATTGTCACAAAATCACAGCACTACGGTTTCTTTTTTTTTTTTTTTTAAGTTTTTCCCGGGAATATGTTTGAAAGGAATTAGGAAGACGGAAAATTGAACAACGGAAGTTTGGTCGAACAGAACTTTGGTCGAATGGAAGTTTAGTCCAATGGAAATATTATCGACGGGAAAATTGGAAGAACTGAATTTGGGTCAGTTTTTTTTTTTTTTTTTTGATAATGTTAAACCTTAAAGGTGCCGGGGACATATGGAAATGGAAATATTTTTTCAAATATTAGTTTGTTCGAACGAATTGTTTTCGATTGTTCTTGTGTGTGTGTAACTGAATTTGGGTCAGTTTTTTTTTTTTTTTGATAATGTTAAACCTTAAAGGTGCCGGGGACATATGGAAATGGAAATATTTTTTCAAATATTAGTTTGTTCGAACGAATTGTTTTCGATTGTTCTTGTGTGTGTGTATGTGTGTGTGTGTGTGTGTGTGTTTGGTGCATTTGTAAATAAATTTTAAGTTTAAGTCTTGCGAGTGAGATATGTGGAGATCTGTTCGAAAGCAAGTGTATACGAAAGGACTTTTGTTCAAACTAAAAAGATACTAAACAGTAGTGTTACGCACTGGCTTATAATATAAGAAATTAATCTCTTATTTTAATTTTATTTGCTCGTTGTAAACAGTGCCTAACAAAGGACGATACCATAGAGTCAACAATATTAAAGATACAACACCCAAAACAGTTGCTAGCCACAATTAGTAAGATTTATCATGTCTTAAGATAATTACAAAAGAAAATAAAATAAAATGACAATCTTCAACTTACAGTATGGTAGATCTTGCACCGGTACACAGTTAACACAGTTCGTATAATGTGCCAATGAATAATGATTGAATGCGAAATAAACACATATATAAGAACACAAAGAATAATACGTCTCGTGAGTTAATAAAACTTATCTTAATCTCCGTCCTTCCTTCTGTGCCTGTCAATCCCTTATATAGGTCGAGTAAGCCCTGCCTTCCAGAAAAGACTAATGACGTGTTGTTTACATTTCTCGGGTTATCGAGCACATTCAAGAAAATACCAGGAAGACAGTCTAACATGATTAATTGGTCAACACGGTTGTAAACAAGCAACATCAAACGAATAGGCCACGCCCACAACAGACGTTACTGTCTGCTAGGATTCTAATTTAGGTCAAGTAAAATTGAAGCGGGGTGGAATGTATGCTACATAACACCTCCCCTCTTAAAAGAAAAAAAAATTTTTTTTTTCAAAAACGGAATTCTTTTTCCATTAAAAATTGAAGAAAGTACATTTCTTACTTTCAAAACATTAGACAAAAAGCTTCTTAACAGCTTATAAATGCCAAACAGTAGTGTTACGCACTGGCTTCTAATATGAGAAATTAATTTCCTATTTTAATTTTA